GTAATACTTTCAACAATAAAGATTTATAAAGAAATAAAAATAAACTTACAAACAAAATAGATCCAGAGACACGGAAGCATGAGACAGAATGATGAATCTCAGAGGGAAGGTGGGGAGGGAGGTAGACAGATTAACCAAAAAAGTTATATGTCCATATGCATAACCCATAAACACAGACATTAGTGTGGTGAAGGCCTGGGGGAAGGAGCAGGAGAGGAGGTCAATGGGGGAAAAAGGAGGACTTCTTTCATACTTTCAACAATAAAGATACATTTTTTAAAAACCTGTATGTGAATATTCATAATATCATTAATCATAAGTCTAAAAGTATAATCAACCTGGATATCCATCAATTTATTAATGTGTAAACAAACATTGGTCTATCCACACAATGGGATCTTATTCAGCCATAAAAAGGAGTGGCTTTGCCCAGCCCACTTGGCTCAGTGGTTGAGTGTTGACCTATGAACCAGGACGTCACGGTTTGATTCTTGGTCAGGGCACATGTCCAAGTTACAGACTCAATCCCCAGTTTGGGGCGTTCAGGAGGCAGCCGATCAATGATTCCCTCTCATCATTGACGTTTCTCTCTCTCTCTCTCTCTCCCCCTTCCTCTCTAAAATCAATAAAAAAATATATTTTTTTAAAAAGGAGTGGCTTAATAGTTTCAAGGTTGATCCAATACATGCCACAACATGGATGAACCTTAAAACTATTAAGCCTAAAAATATTTTTTTAATTATAAAAATAAAAACTATTAAGCTTAGCCCTAGCCCGTTTAGTAGATATAGTGTCAGCTGTGGCCTGAAGGGTCCCAGGTTCAAACCCAGCCAAGGGCACATTTAAAAATAAATAATGACCCCGTTAAAAAAACAAACTATTAAGCTTATGTGAAAGAAGACAGACACAAAAGAACAAATATTATATGATTCTACTTATAAGAGGCATTTAGAGTAGTAAAATTCAGAGACAAAAAGTACAATGGTGGTTTCCACGGGCTGGGAGGAGGGGCGAATGGGGAGTTCGGCCCCGGGGCAGAGGCCTCACTGCTCCGCCAGCCCCGGAAATGTCAGGCCTCGCTGCTCCCCCGGCCCCGGAAACGTCAGGCCTCGCTGCTCTGCCAGCCCAGGGGCCATCAGGCTTCGCTCCACTGCTTGGAGCCTATGTATGCAAATTAACCGCCATCTTTGTTGGTGGTTAATTTGCATATCACGCTGATTAGCCAATGGGAGGTGTAGCGAAGGTACAGTCAATTACCATGTTTGTCTATTATTGTTTGGGAAGATGAAAATTCTGGAGAAAGATGATGCTGATAAGTGCACAATAATGTGAATGTACTTAATGCCACTTAACTATACACTTAAAAATGGCTAAAATAGTATTATGTATATTTATCACAATAAAAAGAATGAAGTCCCAATATATACTACAACATAAGTGAATTTAGCAAACATTACAGTTAAGTGAAAGAAGCCAGACACAATAGGACACATATTGTTTGATTTATATGAAACCAGAGGCCTGTTGCACGAAGAGATTCGTGCAATAGGCCTTCCTTCCCCCTGGCTGCTGGCACCAGTTTGCCTCCGGCACCCGGGGCCCAGGCCTTCGCTCTGGCCGAGTTCTGGCTGGAGCCGGCCCCGGAAACATCAGGCCTCGCTGCTCCCCCGGCCCCGGAAACATCAGGCTTCGCTGCTCCGCCGGCCCCGGGGCAGAGGCCTCACTGCTCCGCCAGCCCCGGAAATGTCAGGCCTCGCTGCTCCCCCGGCCCCGGAAACGTCAGGCCTCGCTGCTCTGCCAGCCCAGGGGCCATCAGGCTTCGCTCCACTGCTTGGAGCCTATGTATGCAAATTAACCGCCATCTTTGTTGGTGGTTAATTTGCATATCACGCTGATTAGCCAATGGGAGGCGTAGCAAAGGTATGGTCAATTACCAT